TTCGGCCAAGGGCTTAACAAAGTAAAGCCAGGCAGAAAATCCAAACAGAGATGTAGAGAGTAGGTGGAGTCGAGGAGACGCCATGCAGTTGGCAAAAAAGAAAGATGCAAACCGCCAACCAGAACCTTACCGGTAGGCCACAACCTCGTGGTGATTCACAGATTAATAGAAATGGGCTAATTTAAGATATAAAAGTTAGCTAAAAATATGCATAAGCCATTGGCCAAACAGTGTTACAATTAATATAGTTTCTGTATTATTATTTGGGTCTGGGCGACCAGGAAACGAATGAGCAGTCTTCGAATACAGGTGACCACAGGAGACACGAAAGGCAGGGAAGTGCTGAGATGATGTAAATATAGCACACATACATTTTTTTAAGTTTAAAAAATTACTCAGCCTATTTGCAACTTTATCCCTTGCTCTCTGAAGAGGGGAGTTTCTTGCCTGCTTACCTGTCAACAAAAATTGAGTATGTCCTCTTCAAATAAGCCAGGACATAAGTACTAGTAAAAAAAGCCTGAGCTATCCTGATCTACTCAGCTGGAACGCAGTAGAACTTTTTCACTGTTCCACCGAGATGCGTGTTCTTTTCCAATTCAGTAAGTGTCCGAAAACAGGGTTCATGTTGTTTGGAGCCCCTTAAGTAATCAATCTCTGCTGGCTACTTTTATGTCAGTTTGACACAAGTTAAAGTCAATGGGGGAGAGAACCTCAAATGCCTCCATTAGATTGGGTTGCAGGCAAGCATGTTGAGAGCATTTTCTTAGTGACGGCTGGGAGCAGGCCCAATCTACTGTGGGTGGGACCACACCTCGGCTGGTGGTTCTGGTTTCTATTAAAAAAGCAGGCTGAGCAAACCAGTAAGCCGCACTCTTTCATAGACTCTGCATCAGATCCTGCCTGCCCTGTTGGAGTTCCTGTCCTGACTTTCCTCCCCAAGTTGCTTTGGCCATGGTGTTTCACCATAACAGTAGTTAACTCTAACTAGGACACAATCTTGTTGAGTAGTACATATAAGACACACCACGGTCTAGCAACAAAATCTAGATCAGCCAAAGGAATGTCTCAGTTCTCACACATCACTCTGGATAGTCCTCCAGTTTTCTGTGTATCAGTGCTTCTCCCAACCACTCATTCTACTTACTCTAAATTCTGCCTGTTCTCATGTTACTCAAAATTAAAAGCCAAGCTGAAGTGTCAAGCATACAACCTGACCCAGACCAAATTGACACTAGTCTGATCCTGTAACATTTATGACCTATGCCAGCATTTCCAAAAGTGTATGTCAAACAACATGCTTGAAGGTATTACTCCATGGTGGAGGAAATTTGTGTCTACCACAAAGATCTCACTCTTCAGTCTCAATGTATACTGCCACCTTAAAGCCTCTGGGAAACCCTAACACCCCAACAAGCTGACTGCAGCAACCAGCTGACATTTTAGAAACACTAGCATGTTCCAGAACATAACTTGGAATTACTGCTTCTGTTGATGGAGGAGGGTTATCTGTCTATTGTTACTTTCATTGGTTAATAAAGAAACTGCCTTGGCTTTTGATAGGACAGCAGCTTAGATAGGTGGAGAAGACAGAACAGAATGCTGGGAGGAAGAAGGCAATGAGGCAGTCACCATGACTCTCTTCTCTGAGACAGACGCAGGTTAGAATCCTCCTGGTAAGCCACCACCTCGTGGTGCTACATACATTATTAAAAATGGGTTAGATCAATATGTAAGAGTTAACCAAAAAGAGGCTACAGATAATGGGCCAAACAGTGCTTAAATAAATACAGTTTCCGTGTAATTATTTCGGGTAAAGCTAGCCGAGCAGGCGGCAGGAAGCAGCCCGCCGCTCCATTTACATTCTGTGTTTTTTTTAATTCAACCATTACTCATACTTTTTAATACCTTTCTAGTCTTATTAGACTTACAAGGATGTATATCTATATGTTTCCAAAAACTGACTGGAAGTTCTTTAGGAAATTCTGTTGTTATTTTGGATATTAAAAGACCTGCAGAGGACCACAAGCTAGAACCAGATTGTTCAACTGAAGACCCAACCTGAACCTAACATAGAAATCGTTAACTAATGATCATAAACAATACAGATCTGAGCCTGTTGTGGGGATAATTGTATCCCTCTGTGTTATTTAGTAATTTTTCCCAAATAAAACATTCCATCCTGGAGAGAGGCTTAAGATTCAGAAAGTAAATGAAGCTTATAATGCTCAAGAAATAAAAAATTCAGAAGTCTCAGAAATCACCCGAAACATACATGATTAACAAGGCTCTTCCCACAAGGTAAAATAAGCAATAAAATGTGGGGCAGGATACTCTCCAAATAGCTGAGCTAAACAGGTTGTATGGGGAGCTTCAAGAACACAGCCTTCTGGAATTATCACCCATGTGGGAATGGGCTTATCAATGATGCAGCAACCTTTGATTCATCCATTTTCTTCTAAGTAAGGCCTCACCCATGCTGGCAAATAAGCCCAAAAATTCATTAGTTCAGCAAACTGAACAATGAACAATGGTAGAGTTATTTTGATCTATTGCTGGTACCCTATCTGGAGTGAATAGATGTTTGTTCATGTTTCCACAAAAAGACATACAACACCCCCAAAATTCACACATCAAAGTACCAGTCCCCGCATTTCAGAATACAACAGTATTTGCAAAGTACAAAGGTAATGAAAGCTAAATGAGGTTATGTAGGAAGACCATGTTCCAATCTGTCACTCTCAAAAGAAATTTAGACATACCAGGATGCACATGTATAGAAGACAGATCAGGTAAAGACACACTGAGGTGACAAGACAACAACAATGGCCTTAAAAGAAATAAATCTTGACAACTCTTTGATGTTGAACTTCTAAACTCCAGAATTATGAGAAAACAAATTTCTGTTATAGTATTTTGTTATATCAGTCATAAACTGGACCTCCAATCCTGAATGCTATGTAGCTACATAAACCCATGCACACATAAAAGTTCCTTTGCTCACAGAGTAACTCAGTGATTAACTTTTGTTGAACATTCTATGTTCAGAAGACAATCATTAACAATGAAGAAATCTGAAGTAAAATGATAACTATCTGAAGAACTGGGGAAAGTCTGAAGAGGCTACTAATGGAGAGGAAGTGGGAAGACAGGCTTCTGGCCATGGAAAATCAAAGAGCAATAAATGAGTGGTTAAATGTAGCTGTCCCGCTCCAAATCAGAACTGGTAATACTGAAGCCTACAAATGTGAGATGAGGTGCTCAAAGAGATGTCTACCGTCAGGAAAGATGAAGAAGTAAAGACTGCACACTCCATCAGGTAGGAACATTCAAGGCCCACTGACTGTCAGTTAAAAAGTAGGACCTTAGATTCTAGCTACACTTTGTCTCTGGGTCCCTAAATATCTATGTCATATCAACCCACTGCAGCACCTGCTCTCGCTCACAGAGCAAGGGCAGAAACAAGGAGAAAAAGATGTGCTCCTGTCGTCAAAAGAAGGGCCTGAAGAAACAAAGCCCTCAGGAAATATTAGTAGTCAAAGAACCATTACTATGCCAAAGAGAAAGCTAAATATAATTTTTCTAAATCTAAATGCCAGTTGATACTGATTCTACATTCCAAATTAACTCAACATAATGTTGGGGAGTGTGCCCTGTTTAGAAGGCAATCGACCTCGATAACTGTTCTTACTGTACTATTACTTTGTTTGTTAGGTTCTTCTCCCCAAGAGTGTAAACTCTTCAAAGACAAAGAGTGTGTTTTTGCACACCCACACACATCTGTAGGGTGACACTATACTCACAATTCTGCTTCACTAATAGAGATGAAATTCAGTAACTCATAAAAATTTGCAACTGGAGACAAAGTATCTCTGAGTTAGGACACTGACTCTTCAAACAATTTCCTTACACAAACCCTGGAAAAGTCATTTAACCTCCCGGTCTGACCGTCTACAAAGTAGTCAGAGTGAAGGCTACAAAACAGATTCCACAAAAAAAATAAGTTACACAGTAAATACGTAGTAAGGCTTAAGACCACTCAGCACATACCGCTATGCATTAAATATGTATTTCCTCATTACAATTATTCTACACAAAATGCTGCCAGATATTATAGGTAAGTTTTTAAATAAATAGAACAACTCCTCCTTGTCAAAAAATCAAAAAAATTGGTTTAATGTACAAGTGTATGTACCTGGAGCTATAATAAGTGAAGAATTTGAGTTTGAGATAGAAACTTGCTGTTCCGGAATTCTCCAAAGTAATCTAACAATCAAAAGAGAAATAGCATTATCCTGCATCCAACTATTGTGCTCCAAGCCTACGTCAATTAGCAGCACACGTCACACAGTCCACATTTTCTTTTCGAATCTGTTCCTTTCTTTCTCACTCTCCCCGCCTCCTTGCGACTTGGCAAAAAGCAGCGAAGCTTTTCCGTATCTGGAAACTGAAACTTACAACGCCCAGCTCCTCACCGGACACCACCAGCACAGTCCTTAGTGCCCCGGCCAAAAGAGGCAATCCGAAGAGGCGGGCTGCGTGACTAGGGTTCTGGAGCCACAGGAGATTCAAACCACTACCCGGCCCACACCTGAGGCCGCTGGGCCACAGGGGCACAGCCCATCCAACTTAAGTGACAGAAGCACTGCCACCTCATCACCGCCCAGTTCACTATGCCAGGGAACATTGGGACACGCTGTCCCGTGCAAAGGAGGACGACGCCTAGCAGCACCTCCAGGCACAATCCCTTCTCCCCCAATGTCATTTCAACTGCCTTTAAAGTGTAACTTCTGCTCAAAGCGAAAGCAATCACAACCCACCTGGCACTTGCTGGACTGCCGCAAAGTATAAGCGCATGCGCATTTCCCCAGGCATCGCTTTCGTGAGGGGAAGTAGCTGAGCGATCACTAGCTCGAGATTTGATTAAAATGGTCTTTACATGGGTTAAGAGTGAGAGCGGGACTCCATCCTCGCGCATGCGCATGCTCTGAGCCTGATGGGAGTTGTAGTTTCGCGGTGCCACCCGCGTTACTTCAGTACATGGAATCCAAACTGCTAGTTCAGGGTCCTATCCCTGCTCGTCGCTGGGAGGCAGTCCAGAGGAGACCAGCTCAGTGACCGCGTCTGCATGCCCCTGCCGGCGATGCTGCCGCTGTGGGTGTGGGTGGTCGCGGCGTCTGCGCTCGCGGCGCCCGCCCCTGGAACCCAAGAGCAGAAGCTGCTAGTGACCCAGAGGCCCAACGTGGTGCTCGTCGCCAGTGACTCCTTCGTAAGTAGAGGGAGGACGGCGAAAGGACGCCGCCCACAGCCTGCAGCCTGCAGAGAAAGAGAGAGCCTCAGGGAGAGCGGACACTGGGGTTGAGAGCTCCCGCAAGTGCACACCTGCAAATAGTAAAAAGGCTCTGGCGATCCTTCTGCCTCAACCTCTCTGGAGAGACTACATCCGCGCGCCACGGGCGGAGATTTTCACTTTTTAATACCAGACTAGGTCCACCAAAGCATTTTTGTCATTATTAATTAATGTTTAGCCTGTATCCTGGTTTAAGTCAGTTATGAAGGGAAATGCATTGTGCACTTCCATAAAAGCTTATTTGTTTTCCAAAATGACGTGTTAGTCACCCACACTTGCAAAAATTAATGTTTGGGTAAGAAATGAAGGAAATTTAATTTTCTAGACCAGCGGTTCTCAATCTATGTATTGGTCGTAATCCTCTGGGATTCGAACCACTTTTTCACAGAGGTTGCCTAAAACCATCGGAAATATCAGATTAGGTTGCGTTTCGTAACAGTAGCAAAATTACAGTTATGAAGTAGCAACAAAACAAATCTTGTGCTTTGGTGTCACCACATGGGGAACTGTATTAAAGAGTTTCAGCGTTAGGAAGATTGAGAACCACTGATCTTGACATTTAATAATTGTGTTACCAGTGATTTAAATGTTAGTTGTTATAATTTAATCTACTTTTGCCGGGAAGTGGAGATGCACACCTTTAATCCCAGTACTTGAGAGGCAGAGGCAGGCGGATCTCTGTGAGTTCAAGGAGAGCCTGGTCTACAGAGTACGTTTCAGGACAGCCAGGACTGTTGTCTCAAAAAGATGGAAAAAAAAGTACTTTCTTGAAAAAGGAGGATGATAAAACATAATTCTTTTCAATTTAAAGTTTATGACAAAGCTGCAATAATCACAATAATATGTTACAGGCAGAAAGATAAATATTCAAAGCAATAGAATAGATTTAAGAGTCTAGAAATAAATTCTGATAAACAAGTAATGCTGAAATTAAATATTCACATATTTAATTTCAAAATTAAAAGAACAAAATTGAGCCCCGTCTTCCACCATGTGTAAAAATTAACTTAAAATGAGTTTATGAATTAAAGACTTCGTCTTGAAAATGGAAGTATAAATTTTCATAATGTTGGATTAGGCAACTTAAAAGGAGCCAAATATTTGAAAAATATTTCCCCATAGAATATAAACAGGTGGTCAGTAAGCACATAAGACTTTTATTAGCATTAATGATCATTAGGGAATTGTAGGTCAAACCATTTCATTCCCAGAAGGATAGCCAGAATCAAAAAGTAGGAAAATGAAAGTATGAGGGGATTATTTGAGAAGATACAGGGAGTCCCCAGGAGGGAGAGGAGGGAGATATGATCAAAATATGAAACCATTGCATTATTTTGTACAGTTAACATATAAAAAGTTCTTCCGTATCCTAATTACACACGCACGCACATGGTAGACAATGACCACAGTTTGTGAGACTGTGGAGGAATTGGACACCTCGTACACTGCTGTGGAGAATGCTCTGTAAAGTGGTAAAGCCACCTTGGAAAAGCATTTGACAGTTTTTCCAGAAATAACAAGTTACTATGCAATCCAGCAATTCTATCCCTATGAGAAATGAAAACATAGTTCACACAAAAACTTCTACATGACTATTCATAGCAATATTATGCTAGAAGCCTTGAGTCATGGTTGTGTTTGTCCGAGCAATAGGATAGACTAGAACAATGTATGACAACTCAGAGCCACAGTTGCGATATAGCTCATTTGGTACAGTCCTTATCTAGCATGAGGTCAACCAGCAGCACCATAAACGGAGAGCATGGTAATGTCTGCCTCTGACCCCAGCACCCAGAAGGCAAAGACTGGACGTCATCCAAGTTAATTTACTTTTTACCTCTCCCAGTGGGCTGTGAGTTTTCTGGGAATGGGCCTCTATTTTGTCTCACCATTGTATCCTCAGATGTTACAAGGTGCCTGACACATAAACTCACAGGTATTTAAAGTTTATTAAAATAATTTTTAAATTATTTTTTCATTCTCCAAAACAACTTTCCAAGAAGCACTTTAACTTAATATATGCAAATGAATCTGAGTATAAAACTCTCTCCAATCTTATTTAGGTACTAGATTCTTATAACATAGCTCAGTGCTTGCTTTTTATTCTTCTTGAGATTTCATACAAACATATTGAAGTCTTTGGGGTTGTAAATTTTGTGTTCAAAATTAAAGGGAAATTGGTTTTGGTAACATAATCAAGGGTGTCACAAGCTGGAATTTAAACAGTTTAGACAGGTGCGAGTCACCATGAGGTCACTGGGAACAGAGCCCAGGTCCTCTAGAAGAGCAGGCAGTACTCACACCAGCTAAGCCTCCTCTCCAGCCCCCAAACAAACTTATTCTTGTTTTAGGAAATGGTAGGAAGTAATAGTTTTTATCCAGTGAGTTGGGTTTCTTCTCCTCCTTCTCTTCCTTTTCCTCCTCCTTCTCTTTCTCCTTCTTCTCCTTCTCTTCTTCTCCTCTTGCTTGTCCTCCTTCTCCACCTTTTCCTCTTCTCCTCCTTCCCTTCTCCTCTTCTCCTCCTTCTCCTCCTTCTCTTTCTCCTCCTTCTCCTCCTCCTTCTTCTGCATCCTTGGATTTTAGCATTTCATGGTCTTTTCTTAATTTAAAAACTCAAATTTTCTAGCTTCCTGTCTTTGGTTTTTGTATCCCAATATTGGTTTAAGTATGAGTAACAACTCAATGAAGCAGCATCCTAAAGTAGCACACTTTTGTGTGCAAGCGCAGATAGAAATGAAAAGAACTTTGCTGCCACCACCTCCTCTGTTCAAGGAGAGAGACTGTAGGAAGATGAGAGACTAGGTTGGGAATGGTTTGCTCAGAGGGCAAAATGGAGCTCTGCACTATACTGATGGTCTAAGTTTGCTGTCTGCACAATAGAAGTTAAAGTGGAAGGGTAAGAATGGACATCTAAAATTGCCCTGTGCCTTCTCTGTGTACATGATGATCAACAGTGGTTGGATTTTTTTATTTCAGGATGGAAGACTAACATTTCAACCCGGAAGTCGGGTAGTAGAACTTCCGTCTATTGACTTGATGAAAGCGCATGGAGCCACCTTCCTGAATGCCTACGCCAACTCTCCCATCTGCTGTCCATCACGTGCAGGTTTGGCAACACTAGGAAAGGGCTGAGCCCTAAAACATCTAGATTTGAATATCATACGCAAAAACCTATTGTAAAGTCACATCTGGTACCTAATAAGAAATACCTCAGGGTAACTGCTGTGTGTTCTATGGGGTGAATGTTGGGGTCATTTGAATTTCTAATTTTTCTGAAGAATTTCTTTGTTTTTCTCAGAAAAAAACTTTTTCTTGCTTGGGATGCTGTCTAGTTCCTGTGTTGCTGTTTCATTTCTTTGTTTGGCTGTCAAGCAGATGGGCAGGTACTTGTGCCTCAGAGAGTTCTGTGTCTAAGATGTCTTTCCACGAGGCTTTGGGAAGAGTCAGCAGCTCTCTAGAGACTCTTCCCAGGCAGAACTCATGTTCATCGGTATCTTAAGTTTCGCAGTGATTGCAGACTTTATACTTCATTGCTTTCTCTGCTGTCACCATTCACGTCCGTCACGAGTCTAAGTGCTCACCTGACTATAATGATTTAGCACACAACCATGGTTTGGATGGCGAGCAGGTGACCATAAGCCATAAGTTTAGAAAGTGAAAATTTGTTCTTAAGACTCTTGTCTGAACGTTGCTCTCCTTTGCGTCTATCCGTGCGGTCTGTGGTCATCTGCCATGGAGCCTCTGAGATAATAGTCTCTATGATTTCAGCTGTCACCGTGGTCACTTTATTTCTAGTACTGTGAACTGTCTGGTCACCAACATTAAAGGAAAAATATATTTTTCTAATTGATATTTCAATGATGGAAGATAAGATATATCGTATGTAAAAACATGTTTGCTAACTTCTCTTCTGTGTTGACTAGAAGGAGCCCACGATGGATACTCTGATTCTAAACCTCTTGGCCCCTGTGAAGGAAGTAGCCCAGGGACATCCACACAATGCAAATGTGGTTGCCAACTGAAACAGTAAATGAGAAAGTGGCTAGTGGACTCCGAAGATCTCACAAGGGGTCTTCTGAAAAGAAGCATATTTTGACAAGGGATGACAGTGATAAAAGTGATGAGTGTATTCTTGCTATATTTGGTGATATTCTAAATGTTGTCTAATATTTTATATATAATCCTCATACTTCCATGAGCATGGTTACTGTCATTAGCTCAATTTGCAGAGGAAAACTAAAACAAAGAGGTCGAATGATTTGAGAGTACCAGACTATGGTTATTGTGACTCAAACCCACCTCTTAGTGTTTTGTTATATCAGAAAAGAAAGGAGGGCCTTGGAAGATGGCTCACTTGATAAAGTGCTTACCCACAGGCAAAAGACCTGAGTTTGAATACCCAACACCTATGTATCTAAAAAATAATATTAAACTGGGTGTGACAGTGAATGCCTGTAATGCTAGCACTGGGGAGACAAAGACAGAGAGATCCCTGAAGCTTGCTAACTAGCCAAGCAAGCCAAACAGCAAGCTCCTGATTCAGTGAGAGTGACCCTACCTCAAAAACTGTTTAGAAAGATACCCTTGACATGCACACGCAAAAAAAACAAAGCACCTCAAACCTACTGTGTGTGCACGCAGAAATGAGAACAGGAAACCTACTGTGTGCACACCTTGAAATGAGAACAGGAAACCTACTGTGTGCACACCTAGAAATGAGAACAGGAAACCTACTGTGTGCACACCCAGAAATGAGAACAGGAATCCTACTGTGTGCACACCTAGAAATGAGAACAGGAAACCTGCTGTGTGTGCACCCAGAAATGAGAACAGGAAACCTACTGTGTGCATACCTAGAAATGAGAACAGGAAGCCTGCTGTGTGCACACCTAGAAGTGAGAACAGGAAATCAGCTGTGTGCACACCCAGAAATGAGAACAGGAAACCTGCTGTGTGTGCACCCAGAAATGAGAACAGGAAACCTACTGTGTACACACCTAGAAATGAGAACAGGAAACATACTGTGTGCACATCCAGAAATGAGAACAGGAAACCTGCTGTGTGTGCACCCAGAAATGAGAACAGGAAACTTACTGTGTGTAAACCCAGAAATGAGAAAAGAAAAGGAGGTGTTTACTAAGGTTTGAGAAAATAAGGCCACATAACATCTCTTTTTCTTTCTTTTTCTTAGAAAAACCTAGTGAAAAGATAATGAATAGGAAAGTCCTTGAAGAGATAAGGGAAACAATGTCTATAATTGCCAGTACTCTAACTTATGGTAAAAAAACTAGAAAAAAATACTTAGAGAAAGCTTTTCTGACTGAAAAACACTAATGATGTGCAAGCTTTATATTTAATTCCAGCCATAAATACAACAAATACCTTAATCAACTTAACCTCCAGGCCTTGGTGAATAGAAATCCTTGTAGGGCTTGCCCACTGTTAAAATGGGTAACCGTGAGAAGTGCCCGGGACCTGCTGAAGCTGATGGCATTCCTTACTCCAGATCACAGACCGTGGAGCAACCAGCAATGATTAAGCTTTACCTTCATCCGTTCTTTTCGTTTCTCTTTTCCCCTCAGCGATGTGGAGTGGCCTCTTCACTCACTTAACAGAATCTTGGAATAATTTTAAGGGTCTTGATCCAAATTATACCACATGGATGGATGTCATGGAGAAGCATGGCTATCAGACTCAGAAATTCGGAAAAGTAGACTATACTTCAGGACATCATTCCATTAGGTAAAATGAAGCAGACACTGCCCTCTGCTGCACACTCATGTACTCCGTATACTTACTTTACCACAAGGCTAAAGTAATTCTCCTACTCCCTCAAGTGTGCCAATTTGGCTAAAGCTTAACTTTGTTTAATCTTCTTAAACTATTAAACTGTTAATATGCTGATAGGTTTTTGTCTAAAACATTAATATCTATGGTTAATTGATTTAAATATTTGTGAAGTAGCTTAGCCTCTGAATTATTTTGTGAGTTTCTGTTATATAATATTTTTCACTTTACAGTCTTTGTAACAGTAGCCTACTTACCTTTGAGAGTTCTCTAGAACTTGAAACTATTGTAACTTTCCTCTCATTTAATAAACCTTCAAATGGCAGGCAGCTAGCTTAGCTAGGGCTTTGGCTCCCGGGTAGAGAAGGTGCTCAGCATGCGCAGGGCCCTGAGTTCTACCCACACCACCACAAAAGCAAACAAGCAGCTACACACTGTGGTGAAGAGGAATGGCCTAGTTTTGAATTCTAGTTTTTCTACTGTAGTTTGGATTCTAGTAATTTTGAACACGCCTATGCTCTCTGAACTCCGCTAATGTGATGACTAAACTGGACAAGGAGGGCAGGGAAGTGCTAACGTGCAGGCCTGAAGTTGACCCTAACAATATTTGCCCACCCATATGGTTGACCCTGGCTGGTGTCTGGAAACTCAGGTTTCAAGGGTGTTTTCCACCTTTCTGTAACTGTAGGCATGTTCTGGGGTGTTTGTGTGGTGCGATTTATTTATGTTAAACAATCATCTTTTTTCAGAGACAGGTTTTTGGTATGGTGTAGGTCCAGGGTGCCCACATGATTAGCCTTCAGTGTGAGTCACCAGGGTTCTGCACATGCATGGACTAGAGGCAGCGCTTGCCCCACCGTCACAGTTCCACGCTGGGAGGTTCGGGTGTGCCCTGAGCGCTCTGCACAGAAGCCTGTGCCTATGCTTCCTCACCCATGCTTCTCTTTGTGCTGTTTGCTTTGTGCACTTTGACATAAAAACACATCCCAAGTCCTAAAGCTCCTCCTACAAATCTGGGTGTGGTCTTCCGCTCCCCCCCCCCCGGGGGGGGGCGACACTCACAAAAACACAAGACTAGGCAACACCTTGTGCCTAGAAAGTGATCATTGAGAGTGACAATATTAATAGTGATGAGAGAATTGAAAACTCAATGTCATAAGGTCATGAGTCAGGGTTTGACAGTGTTCCACCCAAACTTCATTGAGACTTTAGAATGTTATCTTATCTGGAAATAGATCCTAACTACAGATATAACTGGTGACAGGTCTCAAGATGACACTCTGTACTTAGGATAAACTCTTATTGGAAGAAGGGAAAGACACGGATGCACAGGGAGGACAGTTAAGGGCAGAAGCAGAGACTGGAGTGACAGGAACAAGTCAGATGTGACAGAATCGCTGGAGTCACCTTAAACCAGGAAGACACAGCTCAGTCTGGCAGAGAACCTTCAGCAGGAATGTGGCTCTGAGGGCTGACTTCAGACTTCCCATCTCCAGAGGTGGGAAGTGCACATTCTGCATTAAGGGATTCATTCTGTGGTTTCTTACTAAGCAAGCCCTAAGGAGGCAGCACAGTGAGTTTGTGGTCAAACCAATGCTAGAATAATCTAAGTATTATTTTGCTGCTATTTCTAATATTAAATTTCTCTCCTTTTCTGATTAAACTCTAAAATATAGCCACACTACAAGTTGAGAAGTCCTCCTAACCTCGCTCCTCCCTGTGGAGTCTTCCCTCACTGTGGAGTCACTTCTGCTGGAGAACATCCCCAGCTTGTTCACTGTCTGTGCCCTCAGGCTCCTGTCATTCCTCCCTGAGTTATCAGTGACCTCCAGTGGACTCAACAGTGATCTGTAAATATACACCTGATCAATCACATGACTTACCTGCTTTGAATCCATGAGTTATTCTTCCTTGATTTCATTAGAATCCCACATCTCCAGCATGGTTTATATGACCCCGCCTGCTAACATTCTGGATTCATCCCATGCGCTAATGCATGTCCTCAATGTGCTTTCACCAGGGCAGGCCTTCTGGGGAAAATCTCGCCCTGTATTCTGCTTTACCTTGAGAATTTAGGAGAGGGGGCTGGAGAGATGGCTCAGAGGTTAAGAGCACTGATTGTTCTTCCAGCGATCCTGAGTTCTATTCCCCACATGGTGGTTCACAACCTTCTGTAATGCAATCTGGTGCCTTCTTCTGGCCTGCAGGCATACATGCAAACAGAACACTATATATGTAATAAATAGATTTTTAAAAAAGAATTTAGCAGAAAGGAGGGCAGACAACATGCAGCACAGGGACTGATGTTAGCCTGCTTACCATCCTTCTCACCATGGGCAAATTACTTAATTTCCCTCAAGTTTGGGGACTCCTATTTGTAAATTGGAATCTATTCACTTATTGAACAGCTGAGTCTTATCTGAGTTAACATTGAAGATACTGTAACAGGAATAAATGAAATTGTCTGTGGCAATAAACAGAATAAACATCTGTTCAGTGGGAAAGATTGGAGTGATGTGGATCCAGTCAACAAGCCTTACACCTCCTGCCTTTCGGAAGTGATTTACATTTCCCATTATTTCGTGTTATTGCACAAATTTCTCCTGAAATTATTCTCCTTTATTTTTATAGAGAAAATGTACTTGTGGTGGTTTGAGTGAGAGCTTCCCCCACAGGCTCATATATTTAAATACTTGACCCCCAGTTGGTAGAACCACTAGGAAAGGGTGGGAGGTGTGACCTAATTAGAGGTGTGTCACTGGGGGTGAGCTTTGAGCTTTCAGAAGCTCACACAATTCCCAGTTAGTTCTCTCTGCCTCATGCTTGTGGATTGACATGGCACCCTTGGCTACTGCTCTAACACCATGCCTGCTGTTGTAATGCTCCCTGCCATGACCGTCATAACCCCCAAAACTGTATGTCAAAAAAATGCTTTTTGATAAGTTGCCTTGGTCATAGTGTCTTATCACAGCAGTCAAAAAGTAAGTAGGACAGAATCAGGGAGTGTTCTGTTGCAGAGACTGGTCTGATCATGCTGCTTGTGCAGAAAATGTGGAAGACCTGAGGGCTTTGGATGAGAAAAGCCATTGAATGCTGTAAATGGGGATTAATGGAACATCCTCATAGGAGGCTGGAAGACAATGTTACAGAGAGCCGTGTGGACTTATGGAGGCCCAGCTCAAGGTTTCAGAGGGGAACAATATTAGAAATTGCCATTTTAGCAAAAATATGGGTGCTTCCCGCAATTGTCTCTGAATTTTCCTGAGTCTAAAGTGAAAAACATTGAATGATGTTCTTGGTCCAGGACATTTCAAGACAGCCTAACATCGACTCTGGTGTTGTTGCTTGTTGTGCAGGTCTGTGTGAAAACTGCATGAGCAGGGCACAGCTGGGGGGCTGGGAGAGCGGCAGGAGATTCCATGTTAGAGCCTGAGCGGCTCAGGCCAGGCCCAACCAGCCAACCCTGCAATTCATGGAAGATTCCTATTCCTCCTAAAAAGCAGCTACCAAGGAAAACTTAGGCAAATATAATTCAGGGAGGGGCCAAGTTCCATCCCAAGCCAGTGCACAGACCTGACAGCATGGGGCCACATGCTTCTGGCATTAGAGTCCTGAAGGATACAGGAATAAAGGGTCATGGGATCTTCCTCGGCCGGCAATTAAGGAAACTCTGAGGCCAAGTGTATGGCAGGGGAGTCCCTGCATCGAGGCCCTGGGAGGCAGGCCTTTGGGGGAAACTGTAATAGTGAAGCCTGGATGGTGTTGGAGACCCCAAAACCATGGGGTGTCTGCCGGGGACCTGCATGCAGGGAGTGGGACCAGACTAATCAAGAGAAGTGTGTTGCAGTCACACTTCTTTGATTGATGATGTTAAGCCATCAAAGCCATTTGACAGGATCTAGAGTTTGCCCTGATAGGCTCTGGTCTTGCTTGAGTCCACTATTCCCTCGGTATGCCCCCATTCCTCTCTTTTGGAATGCTAATATATATTCTGTGCTATTATATATGACAAGTATGTAAGCTGATTGTGATTTACTGTTAAGATTGCCATGAGTCTCAGAAAAGACTTTGGACTTTGACCTTTTAAACAGTATTGAGACTGTTACAGATTATGAGGACTTTTTAAAGTTGGACTAAATGAATTTTGCACTATGATATGGCCACAAGTCTTTGGGAGTCAGGGAGTAGAATGTAGTAATTTGAATGAGAATAGCCCCCATAGGCTCATATGTTGGTCCCTTTTGGTGCAACTGTTTGGAAAAGATTAAGAGGTATGGCCTTGGAAAAGGTGTGTCACTGAAGGTGGACTTTGAGTTAGCTCTCTCTGCCTCCTGCTTAGGAAATAAGAAGCAATATCTCAGTTACTGCTCCAGCATGATGCCTGTCTGCCTGCTGCCATGATCCCTGCCATGATGATCCTTGCCCCCTAAAATTATAAACCCTAAATATTTTCTTTTATAAAGTTACCATGGTCATGGTGTTTTATCACAGCAATGGAAAAGTAACTAGGACAATATTCTTGTTTATGGCGTGCCATGAAATGTTTCTATAAAATGTATACATTGTATAATACACAACTCATGGTTTGTCTCTATATTAGTTACTTATCTCCTTGTTGCCACAAAATATCTGACAAAACCAACCTGGAGAAGGGTTGGATTTGGCTCACAGTTCAAAGGGTTCGTTCATCCTATCAGGGAGGTCAAGACAAGAAGAGTGTGATGTGCTCATAACCCTGAATCTTGAGTCAGCCAGCAGAGAGGGCTGAAAGGTGCTGCTTAGCACCTTCTCTTATTCATTACAAGACCTCAGCCCAAGGAAGGTGCTGCCTATCGTGAGAGGGAGGAGTTGCAGGATCTGCCCTTTTCTGATTGGCCAACTCTAGCCTGCCCAGACCTTGCCTGCAGGAGGGCTCAGGAGCTGGCCGGGCTGGAGGCAGCCGTCCAGCCTCACCA